GCCCGTAGCTTTCTTAAGTAGTAGGTTTTATTTTTCTTTTAATTGCACGCTTTTCCACATTTTATTTATTCAAAAATTGTGAAAATAATTTTTTATGAGTAAATATAGTCTTTAGATGATTTTTCTAGTATCGTTTAGTTTCTGAGAAATTAAGAGCATATATTGGACGTGGGACCCACTAGTGCGAAAAGTTCGGAAAAATTCGTCCGACTAGGTTAAGTTTTGGATACTGGAATTAATTTACTGGTTGTTAAGAGATCAGTAGAGGATGCTAAGTGGATTGGTATAAGAGAGACAAAAGTTAGGCAAGCATTAAATTAAGTGACAAGTGTCACTTGGCTATTGGGTGGACCATTTGACTACTATTCCATGTCTTACCAATTGACTTAAATAACTAAAAATTCACCAAAAATTCCTCATTTTTCTCTCCACTTTGTCCGGCTCTCTCTCTCAAGAAAGGAAGAAAGAAAGCTCTCCAAGTTGCTTCAATCTTTGCTCCAATCTTCTAAATCAACCATTGGAATTTGTTTTTGCTCCATAGAAAACATTAAGTGAGTGTTAGTGAGGTGTTGTGTGGACTTATTTGGAAAGCTAAGAGGACCAATTGCTCCCTCTCTCTTGTTTCTAAGGTGAGTTGAGAAGAACCACTTTCCTTCCTCTAATGATGCCTAATTTATGATTAGTGGTGGTAGAAGATGAAACTTTATGGATTACATCTTGAGTTTTGGTTGAATTGGTGATGTTTTCTATTTATTTGTGATTTTTCTGTTTTAAAATGAACATGATTGTGTGGCTGTCTATGATGATTGGAAATGGTATGTAATGACTCTAGGAGGTGGAAAAAGTGATTAATTGCAACCAATTTCTGGTTTGGAAGAAATTTTAGAAAGTTAGGGTTTTATTGGGAACATTCTGCCCGATTTTATAGGTCCTAGTTATAGGCATAATTGGCCTTAGCTTAAAACATTAAAGTTGTAGGGAATGACATTTTAGAGATGTCTAAAAAATTTCAGGTCAATCGGAGTAGCGTAGAATGAGAAAAGTCAAAATTACCCTTGCTGTCCTGGTTTTACACGAAATTGAGAATTGCTTCTGTAATTGGTTGCTTTGGTTAGGAATGCTTCTGAATTGGATGTTGAGGTCTTCTGATGAATTGTATCCCTGTTTCTAATATTTCAGATGGCATTGGAATTTCTGGATTTGGACTTAAGTAGCCTGTTTTATGATGTTTACACCAGAACGCATTTTGTGAATCTGTTTTTCCGGTTCTGGTGTAGTATCTTGCATTTTTGACCTGGTTACTCGCGAAACTATACAGAGTTGCCTTCTTCAATATTGTAGCCCTATCTCTTAGCGTCGAAACGGTGGGTCTTGTACCCTCATCCGATAATCGTAGTGTCTTAGGTGCCATTACCGTAAAATGAGGTCAAAAACTTTTTTTTTTCAGGGCTAAAGCTAAATCTTTTCCGGATTTTTCTGGTTTCCTCTAATGCTTATGTATGCTTATGGAACCCACTTTCAGTAGTATTTGGCATTGGTTTATGACTTGTAATCGAGTCCTATTGTGCTTATTGGAATATTTTAGGGCTTGACTTTCATTTCCGATCATTTTCCTAGCTAAATTCCGTACTTGAACTAAATTCCATACTTGAATGATTTTCAGCCTAGTGAACGGCTTTTGGAAATGAGATTATTTTGTGTGAGATGTTGGGACTGATTTGAGGAAATAATGAAGCCATTAATGGCTGAAAAATAGGTAAACACAAGGGATTTGCTGCCGAAATTTTTCTTGAAGGCTAGTTGGATTCCGACTTGTCTTTGGTCCAAGTGCTTTTTGCCGCAAAATTTTATAACCCTTTTTAGTTTAGTTTTACGTTTGGTTTATGAAACCCTAGATATTTCCGACCATCAGTCCAAATGCCCGTTTCGCTTTAAAGTCATTTTTATGCGTTTTACTCATTATTTATTGGGTTCCTTCGATTTCACCTAATTGGTTGTGCTATATTCTTTCTCGTTGAATCTTATGTTTTATCGGTGATTAAGGATACTATCCAGAAGGATATTTTACATGTTATTTTGCATAGTTAGGTGAGTGTTCCTTGTTTGTTATGTTTCTTGATTATATGGCTTGTATATATGACTGATAACATGTTAAACGCTTTCAATGATTAGCCAAAACGAGTTTTCTAGGCGAGTGTGTACTTTATCGCACTCAGCCTAAATGATTGTGAACTTTTCAATGATTGAACGATTGAAATGTTACTTGTGCATGAATGTAAGCCTTTTGGCTGAACTGGCCACTGCCCCTTGTTACCGATCGACTCGAGCCAGAAGCGGACTCGGTCGGGTGATATGGTGACCTGGGTGAACGTTTGGTATACTCGAGTATTACCTTGTAGGTTGGTGGAGCCTGGCCAATTTCCAGGAGGCGGTGAATGAAATGAACGAATGAACGAACGAACGAGGGTTTACTTATAAAAATGAAATTTTCAAATGATTGGAGGAATAAGGGGAAATGTCAGGAGAACGAATGTATGATCGATTGAATTGCTCCCTGTGAGCCGTATCCTTTTCCTGAATGTTTTATCGCTTTCCATTGTAAATGTTTCCTGAAGTAGTGATATTCCATGTTAGTGTATTGGATTGATTGTTTTATTATGTGTTTGGAACCTCACTGAACTTTTAGCTCATCCCTTTAAATTTTGTTTTCCTTAACAGGGGAAGGCACGCAAGTATGAGAGCTTGGTATAGACTCGTTTTGTCTAGCTATTTGTTTGTGTAATGGTTCTCGCCCTAGTGCTTGGCACGGGCTGGTTGTATGATGAAGTGAGAACCTTTGTACATTTGATGGTTGTACTTTTGAGATAGCAATGTATAAAATTTTGTTTTAAGATTTGGATCCTTGTTTTGCTCTTTCTGGTGGTTTTATTTCTGATTTTCTTGAGTGAACGACTGAGTCCCGGCGAGAGCTGGGCAGGCGGTCCGCCGAACCCTTTGGTTCGCCTTAGGGGGAGGTGGGGCTGTCACAGAGGCACTGATGGAGGATGTGATTCAGGACTTGGCCGAAGAGGGTCAAGTGTCTGTAGTCCCTGATGTTCCTGGCGCTCCTGAGGAGGACCCGGAGGAGGAGCCGAGTGCATCCACGGAGTGGTTGGGTCGGCATCTAGCCAGACGACTTGTTAGGGTTTAGGAGATTTTTGTGGGATAGTTAGGAACATAGTAGGACGACACGTTTTCTTTTATTTTTGACTTTGACGTGTCATGGTGGATGTCAATAGGGTTTCTTTTGTTCTATGTTCCTTGGCTAGTATAGCCTTTGACTTGCCTAGGTTGGCATGTATAGGTGACTTGTTTGCTATGTATATAAAGAACCTGTTTATTATGCATTTTATTGCCTCCATTTATCCTTTTGAAACGTGTTACATGAGCCATACCTTACCTTGTTTACATGTCTATAGTTGGTTAAACCCAAAACATGGAGGGTAGAAGAAGTCAAGCCAGGGGAACTAACCGAGGACATGGTCCTAGTCATGGCCGTGGCGGTAGACAAGCACAGGAATCGGTGCGAGAACCGAGAGAAGAGGAAGAGGCAACGATTAAGCCACAACCTGGACCCCAGGCTGTAGGGGGAGATCAAGTAGCAACTACAATCCAACAAATGACTAATATTCTGGCCCGTTTAGTGGAACAACAGGGTCAAATCCCTGTAAATCAACCTAGGGACCCCGATATGGGGCAAGATAGGGCCTTAGAGAGATTCCAGAAGTTCTCTCCACCTAAGTTCTTGGGAGGACCAGACCCGGAGGGAGTCGAGAGATGGCTAGAGGCCATGATCAATATCTTTGTCGCTTTAAACTATACAGAGGATAGGCAAGTACAATTCACTATTTTCCAGTTCGAAGGTCCAGCCAGGGCTTGGTGGAATGTAATTAGGTCCAAATGGGAAAGAGAGGGAACTGCATGGACCTGGTTAAACTTTGTACGGGAGTTTAACGAGAAATACCTGCCACCCATCATCCAGGAAAAGAGAGGACGATTTTATTAAGCTCCGGCAGGGAACTTCTAGTGTAGCTGAGTATGAGACTCAGTTTACGAAATTATCAAAATTTGCTCCTGAACTGATAGCTACAGAGCAAAGAAGAGTACGGAGATTTGTGAAAGGGCTCAATGTAGAGATACAAGAGGCCTTGGTAGCGGTCCAGATTAATACGTTTACGGAGATTTTAGAGAAAGCCCAAAGGATAGAGACTGCCAGGGCACAAGTGAGAAATTTCCATGCAAAACGGAGAGGGGTATCTAGTGGAGCCCAAGGGTCAACGCGGAGTGATCGGAACATGCCACTTGCTAAATCTGGTCGTGGGACTGGAGGTGGACGATTTTCGAGTGCATCTAGGAGAGGTGCTCAGAGAGGAGGTGCCCAGAGGGGAGGCCAAAGTGGTAGGGGACAAGGTAGAGGCATTCCACAGGGAGGCTAGACCACCACTTCCCGAATAACGTGCAGATATTGTGGGAAACCGAACCATATAGAGGATGAATGCTGGAGAAAGGCTCGGAAGTGCCTAAGGTGTGGAAGTACGGAGCACCAGATAGTCAACTACCCGTTGATCAGCGATACTCAGTCGACGGGCAAGTCAAACCCAAAGCCGACCAATGTCGGAGGGACCAGGTCGAGGGTACCGGCCAGAGTGTATTCGCTGGACCAACAATTGGTGCCTGAACCAACGGAGGTAGTGGAAGGTACGATCCCTGTTTTTCAGCGGTTAGCCAAAATTTTGATAGACCCCGGTGCCACTCATTCTTTTGTTAACCCTACATTTATGCTTGGAATTGACATGAAAGTTGAAAGGCTACCTTATGACTTAGAAGTAAGAACACCTACGGGTAACCAAACTTTACTTACGAATGAGGTGTACAGAAATTGTGAGATTTGGGTTGGTGAACGGAAATTGGTAGTCGACCTTATTAGTCTAGCCATTAAGGGGTACGATGTTATTCTAGGTATGGATTGGCTAGCTCATTACCATGCTCAAGTAGATTGTAGGATGAAGGTGGTAGAGTTTTGCATACCAGGTGAGGCAACTTTAAAGTTAGACGTAAGGGGTATGTTAGCCTCATCTGCGCTCATTTCAGGAATAAGGGCTAGGAAATTGGTTAGTCATGGGGCACGCAGTTATTTAGCTTTTCTAGTTAACACTCCGGGAGAAAAGATTAAATTGGAAGACATGCCGATAATCAGTGAATATCCGTACGTATTTCCGGAGGAGTTGGGGTCACTGCCACCCGAAAGGGAGATTGAATTTAAGGTTGATCTAGTACCCGGAACTACTCCCATTTCGAAAATCCCTTATCGAATGGCACCTGCTGAGCTTAAGGAGTTAAAGGTGCAATTGCAAGACTTGCTAGAACAGGGATTCATACATGAGAGCGAGTCACCATGGAGAGCTCTAGTGCTATTTATTAAAAAGAAGGATGGGAGTTTAAGGTTATGCATTGATTATCGAGGGTTGAATGCAATAACTATTAAGAATAAATACCCTTTGCCCCACATCGATGAGTTGTTTGATCAATTACAAGGGGCTATGGTGTTTTCTAAATTGGATCTTCGACAGGGGTACTATCAATTGAGAATTAGAAAGGAGGATGTACCAAAAACGGCGTTTAACACTCGATATGGGCATTTTGAGTTTGTGGTAATGCCTTTTGGCTTAACCAATGCCCCAGCGGCATTCATGGATTTATGTATCAAGTGTTTAAACCTACTTGGATAGGTTTGTAGTGGTGTTTATTGATGATATCCTAGTATATTCGAAGTCAAGGGGAAAGCATGAACAGCACTTGCGAATAGTGTTGCAAACCCTAAGAGAGCACCAATTGTTCGCTAGGTTCAGCAAGTGTGAATTTTGGCTGGAAAAAGTGGCGTTCTTAGGTCATATAATTTCAAAGGATGGGCTTGCTGTAGACCCGGCGAAAGTGGAAGATGTAGCCAAATGGAAGCGGCCAGAGAATCCCACAGAGGTACGAAGTTTTCTAGGATTAGCAGGGTACTACCGCCGATTTATAAAGAACTTCTCGAGAATTGCGGGACCCTTGACTAACTTGAGAAAGAAACAAGGAAAGTACATTTGGGATGTTAAGTGTGAGAGTAGTTTCCAAGAGCTTAAGAAGCAATTGACCATGGCTCCAGTATTAGTTTTGCCCAATGGGAACGATAATTACACGGTTTACACTGATGCTTCGAGAGAGGGGCTAGGGTGCGTGTTGATGCAAAATAGGAATGTGATTGCCTATGCATCTCGGAAGTTAAAACCTCACGAGCAAAACTATCCAACCTATGACTTGGAGCTTGCAGCTGTTGTGTTTGCCTTGAAAAAATGGCGACATTATCTATATGGAATGACTTTCGAGGTATATACGGATCACAAGAGCCTTAAGTATCTGTTTTCTCAGAAGGTGCTAAATCTAAGACAACGCCGGTGGGTGGAGTTCTTAGAAGATTATATTGTACGATTAACTATCATCCCGGAAAGGCCAACGTTGTAGCAGATGCTTTAAGTCGAAAAGCTCAACTAGCAAGTTCCATGGTGGGAGAGTGGAGCTTGTTAGAAGATGTATGTGAATGGAAACCTCGTCTGGAACCGAAGAAGGTGATTTTTGGAAATATTGAGGTGAAGTTGACACTGTTGGATCGGATTAAAGAGGGCCAAGTGAAGGACCCAATGGTGCAAAAGTGGGTGGAAAAAGTGAAGAAAGGGGAGTTGCGTAACTTTAACCTAGGTCCTGATGGAATCTTAAAGTTCCGAAATCGTGTCGTTGTACCTAGGGATGAGGAGTTAAAGAGGGAGATTTTGGAAGAATCTCACCGCTCTAGGTATACGGTGCACCCAGGGAGTAATAAGATGTACCAAGATCTCAAAAGTCTGTATTGGTGGGATAATATGAAGGCGGAGATTGCCCAGTTTGTACAAAAGTGTCTTACGTGCCAACAGCTGAAAGCTGAGTATCAAAAACCGTCAGGTCTGTTACAGCCTTTAGAGATCCCAGAATGGAAATGGGAGCACATAACGATGGATTTTGTATCAGGGTTGCCACGAACACAAAAGGGGCATGATGCGATTTGGGTAATAGTGGACTGACTAACTAAGACCGCACATTTCCTGCCAGTAAATATGAAATATTCTCTGGAGAAACTTGCCAAACTTTATATGGATGAAGTGGTGAGACTACATGGGGTACCAGTGAGTATTGTATCTGTTAGAAACCCTAGGTTTGTATCTCGATTCTGGCAGAAATTGCAAGAGGCTCTAGGAACTAAGTTGAACTATAGTATAGCGTATCACCCAAAAACTGATGGACAATCTGAGAGAACCATTCAAACTCTTGAGGATATGCTGAGAGCCTGTATTGTGGATTTTGGAGGAAGTTGGAGCCAATACTTAATCTTGGTTGAATTTGCATATAATAATAGTTATCATTCCTCTATTCAAATGGCCCCATATGAAGCCTTGTATGGACGACGGTGTTGATCTCCAATCCATTGGGATGAAGTTGGAGAGAGAAAGATTATAGATCCGGCTACAATACCATGGGTTGAGGAAGCCTATGAAAGGGTAAAAATGATACGCTAGAGACTTCAAACAGCCCAAAGCCAACAGAAGAGTTATGCCGATCATCGGAGGAAGGATTTGGAGTTCGAGATAGGAGATAAGGTGTTTCTTCGGATTACCCCGTTGAAAGGAAAGATTAGAGCAGGAAAAGGGAAAAAATTGCAACCACGATACATAGGACCTTTCAATATACTCCAACGAATAGGAAAGGTGGCTTATCAACTTGAGTTACCAGCTAGTTTGTCTTGGATCCATGACGTTTTCCATGTTTCTTTGCTTAAGAAATATCATCCGGATCCGACTCACATTTTGCCACCAGAAGATATTGAACTCGACGAGTCTTTAACCTATGAAGAACGACCTATTCAAATATTGGATCGGAAGGTGAAGGACCTGAGAAACAAGCAGATTTCATTAGTAAAGGTTCTATGGAAGCATCATGAAGTGGAAAAAGCAACCTGGGAGCTAGAAAAGGACATGCAAGAGAAATATCCCGACTTGTTCACGACGAAAGGTATGAATTTCGAGGTCGAAATTCTTTTAAGGGGGAGAGAGTGTGAAGACTTGCAAATTCCTTATATTTTTCTTAAAAATGCCCTTTTATTTGGGAATTATTCATTTAGTATGACCCTACTACCCAATCACCCTACAATAAGTCTAAATGAATATAGAAGTAAGGGTTTCGTTGTCCGTTTTCAAGTTAGAGCGAATTAGGGTTTTCACGTTTTTTCGTAGTGTGACTATTCGGTACGGAGTGAGGATCAAATTTGGTAGGTAAGAGTGAATTTTGGATGAGGAAATATTATATGAGTTGAAGTGATAATGATAAGTTAGTGATTAGAAGGTAAAAACCCTAGTATACGTGATTTAAGAAAAAACAGCTCGAACCGACGGGTATCGGTCATTACCGATTGAACCCACCACTTGACCACCACTTCTTTACCACCACATACCATTGATATTTTTGCAAAATATCTCCCTCATCCTCAGCCATATAGCCAAAATATGTGGGCCAAAATGCAAGGAAAAGAAAGTAAATTTTGGATGGTTTTGGTGGTGACATGTGTTAGTCATCTATGGTCCCTTGACCCACCCTTTTGTCTTGCCTTCTCATCTCTCATTTCATCTCATTTCCCTCATTTTCTTTCTATTTTGGCCGAGAGCAAGGAGAGGCAAAAGAGTGAGGAGAGTTTTCAATCTTCTACCTTGAATCCAACCTTTTGAGTCCAACCAAGAAAAACTAAACCGATTAATCACTAGTTTGGAAGCTTGGGAAGCTTAAGGAACCAAAAATTTCAAGGAGAGGTGGAGGATCATTCTTGCAAGCTCTTGTCTTGAGGTATAATGGCTGATCAACCTTTCTTTCTCTATTAATCATGATTAAGTTGGGTATTAATGTTAGTATTGTGCTTGTGATGCTTGTTCCAAGTGATTTTGATGATTATATGGATGACTTTTGAGTTAGGGTTTCTTGTGGATTAGGTGTTGTATGATGTATATATGTGGTATATAATCTTGTAAAGGAGATGGTAGTGGTAGTTTCAAGGTAAAATGTGAATTATAGCTTGAATATAGCAAAATTCCAGATTTCTGGAAATTGTAGCTTCAGTTCTGCTCGATTCCATTTCATCATGTTAGAAGCTGAATTAGGCTTAGTACGAAACATAAAAATTGTAGAGAATGATATTTTATGGCTGCCTACAAAATTTTAGATCAATCGGAGCAACATAGCCTGTGAAAAGATGAAAATACCCTGACTGCCCTAGGAGTAAAATCAGCGGACAGTTTTGACAGTATACTAAGTTGGTTGCATTTGTTCACCTGGATACGTACTGAACTAGCTTTTAGCCAAAACATGAAAGTTTTAGTACTTTGTCTTAGCTTTTCAACGCCTCTAAGGACATCTTAAACGGACTTTGGTAGCTTGAGATATGGCCATTTGAAGGTAGTACGGTTAACTGGTCTATTAGTAGGAGTTTGGTTCTGTGAATTGAGAATTTGACTGGGTTACACTGGAAATTGGACTAAGTGATCTTCATCAAAATTGTAGCCCTTTGTCTTATCTTCGAAATGGTATAAGTTGTACCTCAATCCGATAAGCGTAACCTCGGTTGTGTCCGTTACGGAAAACCATGTCAAATCTGTCTTTTGCTAGACTTCATTTCCGCACATGTCGTTAGCTTGACTTTTGTACTTGTATTACCTTGAGCCTATTGAACGGCTATTGAAATGAGTTTGTTTTGTGTGTAACTTTGGGTTTGATTCAGGAAAAGAATGAAGCCATAAATGGCTGGAAATAGGAAAATACAAAGGGCGTGCTGCCCAAATTAACCCTCGAGAGCTAGGTAGACATATTTGCAACTTGAGTAAGGGTTAAGAGTGACAACTGCTTGAGCCATCTAGGATATTTGCGTCTTCTTTTACCGAGGTATATAAGTAAGGATTTGGCCGAACTTGTACCCTTGAGAAATAAAATAATGACTGCTCGGAATATGTTTTCCTTGTACTTTCGACTCAAATGGCATTTCCAAGTATAAATGTTCCAAAGTTTTGTAGTTTAAAAAGCGAGCAAGTGTTTCACGACTACTCTTCAAGTGAATTTCAATTTCTTGATTCTTATTGAATGAAACGTCTAAGTTTTGAATCTTAGTCGATTTTCAAAGTTCTTAAGTCAAGTTTTATCGCAGATTTGGACTCCAAACCCGGAGTACAACCCAGACGCGATCACTCGAGGCACTACTTTTGGTGAGTGCTTCCAAATATCTGATTGAACTTGATATTTGTGATTTATCTTTGACCAATGTAATTACATGATATATATAAGTGATTTGATAGGGCAAGGGTGTACTTTATCGCACTTGCCCTAACGAGATTTGTTCTTGTTCATCGATTTCAATTGTCTTGCTCTACATGCATGTGAATTATATCTTGCCTGGAATTCCAGAAACCCTGTGGCTAGTTAATCGAGTCGAGCCGGTAAGGGCCAGGTCGATTAGATAACAAACCCTGGGTAATTAGTGATGTCAAGTGGAGTGTTATCTCCTCGGCTAATCGGTATACTCGAGTAATACCACCCGTGTTTCGTGTGGCGTGCGGGTCCGGTAAGGGGGTTGATCGGTGGACGGAAACTGGCGTGAAGTGGGGTTTTTTCTGGACTAGTTCATTACTCGAACGTTGACGGAGTGTCAACTACCAATCGATTGAGCTGTGATGGAGCCGAGATATGAGCCACTGTATCCTTACATGTGAATGTGAACCAGATATTTCTTGACTATCTGAAGCGTTATTTCTCTGATTCGACTTGTTTGCTCGCTATTTCACTATCACGCTGTTATTACTTTATTTGATGTCCAATTTGATATTTGGAACGTCACTGAGTTTTGGCTCACTTCGTTAGTTTTGTTTTCCTTACAGGGGTACGAGCGAGGCGTGAGATATGTAAAGAATAGCGTAGCCTAGTTGTTTTTTACTTTTGACTTGTACTCGCGCTA